AGTGAAAAGAAATCTTTTGAAATCTGCTTCGTTCTGGGCCTCTATACGGCGTAGGTCACTTGCAACTTTGACCAGTTGCTGAGTGGGGGGTCCTTATAAAGGGGCTATTTGAATCGAAGCGAAAAATCGCCGCAAGTGAGCTTCCAACTTGGGTCATGTGCTCAAGGGTGAACGGCTTCTTGCAATGGTTTCATCAACGATAAGAGCGCTAGCAGTGTCGAGCATGGGATGGCCTAACGGATAGAGTGGAGGTTTCGTAATCGGACAGTAAGGGTGGGTTGGTGGTTCGGCTCCCCTTGCGTCGTGGCTTTTTAGATTTCGCTGTTCTCGCTTCCATTTTGTGTCTGCGCATGAATATAACTCGGATATTTGCCATTTATGGGCACATTCTGAGTAGCTGTACCTCATGAGTCAGTGCTATTCAACTATTTCGATTTTCACGCGCCCAACGGTCGCACCCTTGAACAGGTTTGTTGCTGATTGATCCTCATAGGCTACACAGTGGATCTGATTGCGAATTTAGTAACTTCTGGTGTGGTGTCAATTATAGACAATTTGGGGCCCACATCTTCTTTCCACTGAATTCGTTATGTACACCAATATAGGGAACGTTCAGCGCTATTCTGGCGCCAAATTGCGTGGACGCCAAGAATAGGTGTTATATTTGTGATGCAAAGGCCATGTTACCACTAACAAACGAATTTTCGGTCAAAACAATTGTTTTGACCTTCTTGGGTTTGCTTATTGGGTTGTCCGGGGTCCGTAGCGTCAACGATACGTCATCGCTGTTACGAAGATGTGAGACTCCGCTCACACTGCCGACCAAATGGTCGGTCACCTACAACCCGAAAAAGTCAAAAAAAATTTTCGCTCAAAACTTGCTCCTAGGGTAATTGACAGTCCTGATCACGATTCTAGACTTTATTTTCGGTTCCAGTGCCATCTGGCACCGGCATAGCGCCGAAGAGCTGAGTCTGTGCATATACGAATTCGAACGAAAAGCAGTTTTGCTATATAAAGTGGATCTGTTCACTTTATCGGTGAAATGTTTTTGTTAGGAACCAAATTATTTTAGATAAGAACGTAGATCAAAAAAAATAAAAAAATTTGGTTTTTAAAAAGAAAAGCAAAATTTTGTCCTCGGTGGGATCCGAACCATCGACCTTTTTTACGTTTTTTTTATTCGTAGAAGCGCGCAGCGAAAACGAACCTCAGTTTTCTGGTCCTCGTATGTGCCCCTACAATATGCACAAGACCATTTTGAAAAAGCTCACCACGCCCTGAACGACCTCCCTTGTATCCAGTCTCATATTGATTTCACGAATAGTAACAATGCTAGAGCATTCAGAGAGTCATTCCGTTGAGCGTGAATGGGGCATCAGAAACCAATCCGTTTCTCATGAACATCGTCTTCGTTAGATTCAGCCGTAGACCGATTTTTCCACACGCGCAGTCGAATTCAGCCAGCATTCGTTCCGCTTGCTCGATGTTTGGTGTTATCAAAACGATGTCGTCAGCAAAGCGGAGATGGTGTAGTTGCCGACCGTCGATCTTCACTCCCATGTCTTCCCATTCCAGTTGACGGGCATGACGTCTCGAGAGAAGGCGCTTCGGCAGACTGATGTCACCCTGTCGACCCCTTCTTCCGGACCTTGTCAGAATGGTGAATCTTGGTCGTGAAAGCTTGCTATACGAGTTACCGAAGAAGTCACTGACTGTAGCTGAGTAGGATTCCCTGGTTGCCCAGGAGCTTCGATAACCGCTTCTGTCTCAACGGAGTCGAAGGCTTTCTTCAAGTCGATGAACGTGAGACATAGCGGCATCTTGTACTCTCGCGATACTTTGAGCTTCGTTACCGTGTGGATGTGATCGATCGTGCTGAATCCTCTTCGAAACCCTGCTTGCTCGCATGGCTGTCCTTCGTCTAGTGTTCTGCCAATCCTGTTCAGGATGACTCGTGTGAAGAGTTTGTAGACTACAGATTCAGGCAGGCAAGATTGGGCCGAATAATTGCCAATGTCGTACAGGTCTCCCTTCTTGTACAGCAACACAGTCTTGCTGGTTTTCCACGAGGTGGGTACCTTGCATTCCGACAGGTAGCGCGTGAAGAGTCGAGCCAGAGTTTTGACAAGAACTGGCGGAAGATTCTTCAGATGTTCGGGTCTGATCCTGTCGGGACCGGGTGCCGTACGATTCTTTACCGACGAGATGGCGTGTCGGACTTCGGAAGGGAGAACTGCAGGAACGACATATCCATCCTGCTCCGATGGTTGCAGGTGGACGTGGCTGTCAAAGAGATCCGAGTAGAAGTCGTGGATGACCTTCTCCATTGCCCTTCTGGATGCGGTGATTGTTCCATCCGGACGTCGGAGGGCGGTCATCTTGGTCTTACAGTTGGCGAAGTCGCGGCGGCGTTGCGTATGCTCTTCCCAGCCTCTGCGGCTTCCACCAGTACTGCTGCTCTTCTCTCCTTGAGGTCTACTGCTGTACGGCCGTGCGGCTCCACGTTGGCGAAATTTTTGGCACGAGTTCCAGAGATAGACAGAGCGCTTCTTGTAGTCTTGGAAGTCTCTGACTTCTCGGCGCAGTCGTGAAGATGTGCGACAAGCCGCGTATTCCTCGTCGATGTTGTCGATGACGGAATCCTCCCAGAGCCCAGCGAGAGAAGTGAAGTGATCCCAGTTGATGACGGTCTTGGGGCTTCGCTTCTTGAACTTTGCGGCTCTCTCTCCTCGCATCGAAAAGCGGAATCTCGCGCGAAGGAGACGGTGGTCGGATCCTGTGTAGAACTTAGGAACAACAGCGACATCGGTCAGGCAAACCTTCGATTGAAGATTGTTTGCTAGGGTTGAAAGTCATCTTAGTCTGGGCGATTAAATCTCTGTTGCTCCGCTGTGAATTCTTTGCAGCCGTTGTCCGGGCATCGCAGCCGACGGGTCCGCCGCTGTCGGTGGTTCGCCTCAGGTTAGGGGAATGAGGCACTATAAATTACAGTTTTCGGCGAAAAAAATTCAACCACGCGTAGCTCGCCAGGCTCTGACGTGGCACCCTCCGCATTGGTACGGTGTTGGAACAGTCCAAACCATTCACCCCACGCCACGTTGAGGCTGCGGATAGGATTGTGAGGGGACCAGTTTATGGCCTATCAAATACATATATTAACCTGCATCGCCAGATCCTCAAGCGCAGGGTGCCGACTGCAAGCAATATCTCCCAAGTAGGTTAGCACGGTTGTTTGACTTCAAATTTCCACTATGCAATTTAAAATAGGAATAGGATCGAAAGTAGGTTCGATTCAGCCGCTCTGGCATGCAAGGAGGCAATACTGCCGAAACGATAGTTTGCATAAAGATGTGTAACAATCTCGCACCGCTCAAGAAACATCTCTGAACATTGCTGTCGTCATGCCGAGATTAATGGAAAGTCGACCATGGACTGCTGAGCATACTCCCCAAAGAATACTCCACTTGCTCAGGGGAACATAGCCTTGGTAAATCAATATCGAGTAGCTATGATGGCATCACTTTCTTTCATTCTGTGCCTTCGCTGGACCGACGCTTCCTCTACTGGAATGTTCAACGATTGTTTCCAGAAGCCACTTTTGTGGGAGACATCTGCAGGACTCCAAGCGGGTAAAAAAACCTGTTGCTACTCAATTTTCCGCCTTGTGCACGGAGTGAACAGCAGACCAGTGAACAAGCAGAACAGTTGGGAACAACTCATTGAACTTTGTACTTGAACAAACTCGTGGTGGCTCCTAGCTGCCTAAGTATGGCTCAGACGGCGGGGGTTCGCAACGGGTGCGTTTCGGTCGCGGTAGTACGGCACGCTCTTGATTCGATGCCGGCTTCAAACCTCAAACTGGCAATTTAAGACCGGCTGCTACTTCAGCGTCGAACTCCATGACGCGGCGGCGGAAGGAGAGAAAAAAACGATAACGTCATCTAAGTGGCAGCTGTCCAGGTGGATAACGGCTCGATGCGCGAACAACGCGATCGTTGTATGGCAGCCCTAACGTCCTTATTTCCGACTATATCCGGTCGGGTGAAACGTAAGCCCAGCTTGAGTCCTCACCTCAGCGCAACGAACCTGCTTCCTATGATTGCCGCCAGCTTTCGTTGCTTAGCGGCCTTACGCTGTGACACACCTGATTCGAAAGCGCTAAGAAAAAGCAGAAGTACTTGAACACCTAATTCATGACCGTTCTATATCGATATCTAACCGTCGAAAATACCTGTTTGATGTGTCCCAAACATCAGTAACATCAGAAGAAGAAAAACAATGGAGTGGTGGTTGCTCTGCAGAAAACAAGATGGCAATGTTTTTTTGATAATCTGGTGAGTTCCCTTTTCGATAAGGATCATTCTTCCTGGTTGTCATTGAATTGTAACGTCTCAACGAGTCTCTCGAAAGAAAATCTATAGTCGTCTCATAGTTTTCATTCAGAACCTTTGAGCTACAGTCTCGAAAGTGATTCTTCATAAAATCCCAGTGCTGGTATCCATTTTGACAGTCTTACTAAGCCAGCAGGGTAGCGAGTGGTAGCACTTTGGACGGTTTGGCATTTTGACCGGATCACCTTCCTCAGGCCACCTCCGTGAATTCTGGTCCATGCCATGTGTGAGGTGAATGGGACTGTAGTTGCGGCAGCATGTCATTTTCTTCACTCAGAAGTGCCCGGAAAGTAGTTAGGATTCAGCTCAGGTGATACTGTGGTGGGTTGGCTGAGTCTATTTTCCCCTGTGGACGCTCGGCTGCTTCTTCTACATTGCGCCCGGGACGCAGGGGTGAGGGGATATCTAAAGGCTGACAGAGCACAGAACACCTTTGGGCTTCTAAGGATAACGATGTAGCCGATAGGTCAAGCTGAACTCCGGATTTCACCTTAGAACCTCTTTTGGTCGTTTTTACAAGAGCATTACCAACATCAAGTGTTCCCACTTCACCAGTTCATGCTACTTAGAATTACTTCATTTTGGTGATTCCATATTTAGACACCGATGTTGGTGCTTTTCGGTGTGATTTGCGTGCTGATATTCCTCTGTATTGAATGGACGCGATATGTCCGCCGTTATCCGCCAGGTATGTAGGGCTAATTGCACTTGCAGTTCTATCGATAGCCATTAACTTTAAAAGCCCTAAAACTGAAAATTTACTTAGGTGGAAAGCAACAGAATTCATTGAAGGCGCTAGTGCCGCATTCCATTGATTCTTTCATTTGTTGGTTTGTCATTGGAGACTAGGGTTGAAGGAAGGCCTTCTATGAATACGTGAAGCCGTTTTTACGCCGGAATCGGCCGATCCGATTCCGCCGAATGCAGCTCTCTCTGAGCATGCACACTATTTGAGGCATTTCAAGTGGTAGAGGTTTTTGGTTACAATCCGCACGACCCTCTCTCTCTATAACGTACGTGAAAATAAGAAAGATCAACATCCCCCACATACTCCTTAGAACAAGTTACGATTCCCTTGTGTGGAATTCCCACGATGATGTGTCCTGGCATCTGAAGCCAACCGGAGCGCTTCCTGCCTCCATGCACGCGTGCGTTCCCGACCTGGATTTGAGGATAAATCATTCGACATTCACACGCGGTTATTCGCGAGTCATTATACAGCGCCATACCAAATCTATTAGATCATCATTTCCTCACTAAGACGGCGTGCACATTAGAGTGCAGCTAACGGCAGCCTATCCCAACAATTGTTGCTGGTTCAGGATAGCATCAGTTGGTGGAAAATGTCGCCTTGCCTGGGCTCCGATCCGCGCCCCTCCAGAGGCCCCTTCGTTTGCAGGGATTACTACCGTACCTTATGGGGGAAAGCAGCTTTCTCATACGATCCTAAGAAAAGTCCTAGTGGTTCCGACTATTTCAGTTATCCCGACAAGCAGCTGATATGCTTCTTCTGGGCTTTTTTGTTGCGTGTGTTTTTTTTTATTCTGGTGCTTTTTTGGTGCAAAGATAAATAAATGTGGCTTCCAAAGAGCCATTACGATTCTGAGCAGTAGTAAGATGTATGTATGTCACATCCCAGTTAAGACCTGATGAAAGGCGAAGGCTCGACTGTTATCTTTTACTTACTTTAAACTAATCATAAATGCAGAAAAAATGACGAAGTAATACTTGACCACCATTAATTTTGCTTCAGTGACTTCTGTTTATCGCCATAAATCACGTTTATATATAGCCCATTATTTTGAGGACCGTTCCCTTTGCCGTTGATCGGAAATCTTCATCATATAATGCTTGGAAAAATAAAACATGGAGGAATCGTTGAACTCATGAGAGTTTGGCAAAAGGTATGCTAAGATTTCATATCGATCCGAAGCCACCAGTTTATAGTAAGACTTCCCAGTAATGTAAAAGGGTACAAGACGAGAAAAGTTGAAAATTTCAATCTTGAAGGGCCTTTTCACACTTCAACTCGTGAACATCTATCCGCTTGAGTACTGCGTCCTCATCGGTGCGCTCCTCCTCTCGGCCACTTATGAATAGAGGGGCTCACCAATGGGAGGTGCACAATGGTCCAGGTAATTCCGGCCACACGAACAATGTTGTATGTGACCTCAGCTAGACACTGGGCAGCGGGGAAGAGAAGGTCTGAGTATATTAAGAAGAGTGAATGACTGATATTATGAACGACCGGAGTTTAGCCAGCGATTTGCAAGGTCTGCGAGGAGGTCGTTCGCATGAGATTCCGTTGACGCGTCAAGGCAGTAAAAAGTTCGGACAGTTCGGGAAGGAGGGGGGGGGGGTGGAGGGAGGATACATTTTGCACTTTTGCCACTTTCCATCGACTTGTTGTTGCAAGAGCTCACAGTTTTCACCACAAACACTTGTGAAATACATGTGCAGCACCCCCAACCTCTCTCCGCCCGCCAAATGCGCCAAAAGTCCCCAGATCTTCAGAGCTCCCAAGACATTCACTCAGGACTGTTTCGTTTATTAAAGAATAATACCGTACTACTAACTCTTCCAGCCATTAAGGAATACGGTAACGTGATCACATTCTGGTTGGGACCGATAGCTACCGTTCATATTCTGGACTTTGAAACAGCAAAGGAAGAAATGCTCGTCAACGGCGCTGCCTATGCAGATCGATACACACCGTATGTTCTTGATGTGAAACGAGGTACGGTATAATATTTCGGTGCGATTCGACTTGGTGGGGGCATTTCGCTGGTCCCCATTGATCACAACCAACGGTCCAGTGGAAACCTGTGACTTTCTGTGAAGCCATAAAATGGCATGACCTCGTTTACACTTTACAAGTGTCTTTGAGTCATACCGAGGTGAGACGTGTTATTTAACATTAACTTGCAAAGAAACTAGCGAACTAGCGAAATGCCTCTCTTCCCCCCCCTACACCGGTCAGCGCCTATATCTCCTCCATGAATTGTCTTATGAATACATTTCGCAGAAGGCCGTGGTACAGTCTTCTCGAGCGGCGATTTTTGGGCTGATCATCGCCGTTTCTCTTTGAGGACGTTACGCGATCTTGTGTTCAAGAAAAACATCCTGGAGGAGAGGATCATGGATGAGTTCCAGTACAAGTTAGTTCGGTTTTTCGTGGACCACTTCTTATTTTGGCTCTTGTCTTTTTTCTCTTTCTTCAGCAAGTCTTCTTCTTTGTGGGAATAAACGTTTCTATGGGAAGCGCTGTGTGCCTCGGGAAGGACCGCTCTCCAGCGAGACATAGCAACATCGTGTTCTGACGTGACAGGGCCACGTTGTCTCGGTGAGGGGGTGCAGTGAGACGGTGAAATGGTATATCTATTTATCAAGTCATGTACATCAAGTA